TGTGTTGAGTATACCAATGAGTCCTTCAAAAGGATTATTCATCTCTGAATATCATGGGGTTATCATTTTCATCTCTCTATTGAAATTCTCTATTTGTTCATGCATGTTGTTCACTTCAGTTCCACTAGTTAATCTGATGTCCTTATCTGATAGTTTCAACATCTGGCTCATCTCTGCATCCATTCCTGTTGACTACTTTATCTCTTGACAATGGATATTTTGTTTGTTTTGTGTGTCTCTTGGTTTTCTAATAAATGCTGGATTGTATGCAGAACAGTACTATTTTCTGGTAAGTAATGTCCACACCTGGCAATGAACATACTTCTGTCAGGTTGTTATGTGGGGTGTTTGATTAATCTAGTTAGATGAGTTGGGCTGGGGCTTTGTCATTGCTATAGTTACCTTCATTAAATCACAGACTTTAAATTTCTTTAGCAGGAAGGTGCTGTTTCCTGGTGCTCAGTGTGAGGACTAGGTTGACAGAGCTTAAAATCACTTCTGCTCCTTTGTTGTTACCTTAGCTACTAATAATACTTTATTCAAGAAACATTCACCAATTGATGAACATGTTCAACTTTTTCAGATGCAAGAAGATATTTATTGGAGGTTTAGAGCAGTTCTGCTCTAGAGTTTGATTGTTCAGAGGGGAGTCGTATCATGCTTTTTCTACTCTCCAAGTTACCTCTCCTCTTCACTGTAACCAAGCAAGGATGATCAGGTTAAATAGTCATATTTAGATTTGATATGAAATGTCCTTTACGGGCAACCAAATGTTATTAATAGGGATAGGTTAGAAGTTTCTTTCAGCTTCACAACTCATTATTCATAACATCATGTAAATTTGTAGGATTGTTGTCACATTTGGGAAAATCTCAAATAAGGCTATTTAATACATATTTAAAAGAGTTCATGGCACATCAGTTTTCTTTAAGATGATGACACACTAACTACTTTGTTGTGGCTATCCTCATTAAATCCTGACAAAATTTTTTTCTTTTTATTGGCTAATCATTGGTAAGTACTGAATCTTTACTTAAAATTTTATACATCCAATAATTGGAAGATTTTTCCATAGATTAGCTTTAGGCTCACTACCATTGCAACTTAACTTTTCATTCATTATTCGTATATTTTTGATGCTAGAACATAGGATACATTCAAATAGCTATAAAATGTCTGGCCCTTCAGTTTTGTTTTACAGTGCTGGGTGGATGGGCAAAATGAGTGGTAGGAGTATTCTTGGATGCCACTCCTACATTGGGACAGCTGGCAATGTCTTAACTCTGCATGGAAGTGACTATGAATTACAAAAATATATCCTGTTAAACTCATACCAAATGTATTCTAATTCAACTTCCCCTCAGCAAATTTTTTAAATGCCAGCTAGTCACTCCGATACCACTAGACAATTCTGACAGAGGGGAAAATTAGTGAGGAAAGACTTAGCAGTCTAAAAATTGCAGTTAAAAATGTTAACTTTTTTTCACAGGGGAGTGCCGTGTGGGGCGCTCCTGGATCTGAGGGTTACTGTCTGGAGCCAGCTGAGGAGGGAGCAGGGCTCTGAATCCTGCAGAGCCTGTCCCAGGGTTGTCATGGTGGGGGGAATAAATACAAGTCATTGCAAACACTTCTCTGTCTGCCAGGAGAGGGGACATGGCTCTTCCCTCTAGTGGAGAAGATCCCAGCACCCCCCCCCCCCCCCCCGCAGTCCCCCCTCAAGGCTTTTATTGAGACCCATGCAGAGCTCATCAATCAATGTCAAAGGCTATGTTTACAGAACACAGAGATCATAGATAACAATTGAAGGAACACAAAAGATCTGCCTTAGGTCAGGGTCTATGAATAATGTAAATCTCCTTCCCAGTATAAGCTGGTTATCATAGGTTTCGAGGGAAGAACAAAGCATGCTTCAAGGAATTTACTTCTAGTCCTGATTTCTCCTGGGGAACCAACTGATCCAGTTTAGGGCTGTACCTGCCTTTAGTATTGCTTCAAGCCTGAGTCAGGCGGGCAAGGCAGAGCCGCCAGGAGATAAGGAGACTTCTTTCAGATAGAATAAGAACTCTGGCCATATCAAAGCCAGGGGTGTGAGGGTCTTTTGCTTTTCTCCGTGTCCCCCAAGTTCTTGTCTGCTGCCTGTGTCTGTCTTAGGTGTTCCCTCCTCATGAGGAGTCTTACCCGTCTTTGACTAACCGACCATCACAGGGCAAAGCAGGGTCTGCCCCCCTGCCAGGGGGACAGGTTTCCCAAGGCCTCCTTGATTATTTTCAGCCTTGGGGCCTTCTTGTCTGTCGGCAAGGCTATAGTCTCTGAAAGCAAACACGGCATTTCCCAACAACTTTTACAAATTTTACAAAAGCAGACACCATGTGAACATATTGTTAGGGCCTCTTCCAGGGCCTTGGGAAGAGCTACTGCAAATGAAGTTCCCTAAAGTTGACTTAGCTTCACAGTAAATCTGCTTCAAGGTTTGGAGCTATTTTATTTGCAGGGTAAATTGACAATTGTCAGTCAGTTCTATATAGGGCTGGTGGATAAGTTGGTTACAACTCCATTTGAGGCAAAGACTTTCAAGCAGATCTTTGTCTCTTGTGTCAAGGGGCTGGCTCACTGCTATTTTTTTAGACTAATAATTCTCATACTCTTTGGTCTCATGATCATTTCATACTCCTAAAACGTATTGAGGATTCCCAAAAGCTTTTATATGAATTATATCTATCAACACTTACTGTATTAGGAATCAAAACAAACATGAAAAATATTTATCAATTCATTTTAAAAAATACTAAATCTGATGCATGTTCACATAAATAACATTTTAAATGAAAAATAACCATATTTTCCAAAGCAAAAAGAGTTTAATGAGAAAAGTGGCATTATTTTATATTTCTGCAAATCTCCTTAATGTCTGGCCTAATTCTCATATCTGCTTCTATATTCAATCTGTTGTACAGAACATATTTACTCTGGAAAACTCCATTGTACTTTAATTACAGTGCAAACGGCAAAAAAGTCTTAGTATGAAATAATTTTGACCCTGGGCCATCCGACCATGCTTTGAGAAGAGCTGATTTAGACATCACTATATGGTAACCTCCCCTTATCCACAAGGGATATGTTCTAAAATCTCCAGTGGATATCTGAAACTGCAGATAGTGCCAAATCATATACATAATCAATACTATGTTTTTTTCCAATGCATACATACTTATGATAAAGTTCAATTTATAAGTTAGGCACAGTAAGATATTAATAACAACATAAAAAAATAAAACAAGTACACAATATATTGTAATCAAAGTTATGTTAACATGACCCCTCACTTCAGGGAGTCCCTTAATGAGGGTCACTACTTTCTGGTGCAACACTTTGCCATCAATTGGAACACGAAGTTTTCTTTTCACGTATTTCACCCACAAATTTAATGCCTTTTTCATCTTAACTAAGCAGTTGTCACACACTGTGGCCATAATTTTTGCAGTTTGAGGTGCAATAGCAAAACTAGCATGAATTTCTTTTTTCACAATTTAGCAGATGGAAGATTCATTCTTAGCAACCTCAAAATATGATTTTTTCTTTCCTTATTAAGTCAAGAATTTTAACCTTTTCATTTACAGCTTCTGTTTAACATATCTGGATTGCCAGCCTCATTATTCTTGTGCTTTGGGGCCATTAAGTAAAAAAAGGTCTTGAACACCAGCACTGTGATACTGGAACAGTGGATCTGATAACCCAGAGGGCTACTAAGTGACTAATAGGAGGGGACGGTAACCCTCTTGGATAAGCTGGACAAAAGGATGACTCATGATGCGGTCTGAATGGAGCCGGATGGCTCAAGATTTCATTACAGTACTCAGAGGTGTGCAATGAAAACTTATGAATATTTATTGAATTGTTTATTCATGGAATTTTTCATACAATATTTTCACCCTACGATTGACCGCAAGTAACTGAAACCACTGCAAATGCAGAAAGCGAAATCCTAGATAAGGGGGGATTATTCTAGTTATTTTCTGGTTGCCTAGGGTTCCCAAACTAAACTTTCTCTATTTCTGTATCTGTATAATGAACCCCACCTCCTAGATAAAAGTCAAATGTTAACTATTAATCACTATGCTTTTTAGCATCCATGGAAAATTTCAGAAACAATTTTTGACGAACGGTAAATCTTACAGAAGTCATTTTTCCCTTTCACTGACAAGGTAACGATTATCGCCTTCAATGTATGCTTCCATATAGTATGGCTTTCTTCTTTTAGGGATAAAATGACCAAGGAAAATATTAGATTAAGACCAAAAACAACATTGGTCTTATGCTACAACAACACAATATAATAGTTACCAAGTTCGTTCTGTGTGCTATGGTTGTGCTGAGAGCCTTAGACACATTACCACTTAATTCTCACGGTAATCCTACCAGGTATCTACCCTTATTACTATTTTACCCGTGAGGAAACTGAGATACAGAAAGGTTAATGCTCAACGTTATATGGGACTTGGCCAGAAATAAAACCCAGAAAAAGTCTCTGGAGCGCAGAGTCCATTATCTACCTGATAAAGTATAAAGTGGGAGCTGATACGAGATTTGCACCACAGCAGAGGTGTCAAGAGAGAGGTTAGTCCGCAAAAGCCTCAGGGCCATTCTTGGTGCCATACCGAGAATGTACTGTACTATTTTCCACCGGAAGCTTCCTTTCTGCTTTATTTTCTACGCTACTATGCTCCCTTTCCCATATTTAAGATATTTCCTTGTTGGTGGCTTCAACGTTTAGTCCTGAGGCTGATCCTAATATTAAGGCGCTAAATAACGTGGTGAAAAGGCACTGGGCAAATCCGAGGTAACCACGGTGACGCTGGCGTGCCGAGCACTTTGCGCAGGCGCGTTGCACCCCAGACCCGCCTGCCGGCCCCACCTCTCGGCCTCAGACTCCACCAGCTGGTGGAGAGCGCGGCTGTGGGCTACGGGTGTGGGCTGGGTGTCGGGGCGGGAGGGAGGCCGGAGCGGGCGCCTGCGCAGTCAGCGGGACGCTGGTGTGCTAGAGCTCACGTAGAGAAGTCTGCAGTCGCCTCCTATCCAGCGTTGCCGTGGCGGCCTAGAGGTTATAAAAAGGCTTACTGGCTCCCTCTGCCGCCCAGTCGCGCCGCCAGCGGGTTGAAGGAAGGGAGTAAGTAACCCGCCCGTGTGCTGGCAACAGGGGACTGAAGAAGGCGCTCCCGTCCTACTTCCCAGGTGAGACGCTCCCCCGATCTTCGAGATTGAGGCCGAGGCCCTAAGGCAGCTGTGGTCCTTCTCGGACCGCCCTGGTGGTCCGGTCCCTGTCCCCTCTGGTGGGATGGCATGAGGGGCGAGGGTTCGCCAGTTTTCCACCGCAGCCTCAGGGTCTTTTCTGGAGACTCGGCCCCTCGGCCTGCGCCGCGCGACCCCTGTGTGGCCCAAGGCCCCTCTCTGCCCTGGTGTGTACTCCCTATCTCACCTCCTCCCTGGTGGGCGCCGCCAGCCGTTCTGGCTGCGGCAGCCTCCGTCCCCGCCCCGGGGTCCAGAACTTTCGTGAATATTCCTTCCCGGGGAGGAATCACCCTGTTGATTTTTCCGAGCTCCTCTCATACCTGGTGCTCCCTGCAAAACTGATGGGAACGGGCGTGCGGGCGTGGGGTTTTGGCCTCCCTGGCAGCAGATGGTTAGCATGTGGCCATGGACAGCGGATTTTAAAGCTCAGAGCTGAAGCCCTCCAGGCATTTTTTCCATTATCGAAAGCCACGGGGTCAGGCAAGAGAAGTACGGGGCTAACTCATCTGTTGCGCACAGCGGTGCTGGTTAAGCTGCTAGACTACGCGTAGCCCGGGGCGGCGAGTTGCAGACTGGTTGGTTGAGGAAGTCGGCTGTCAGATCACCCAGTCTTCTGTTTCCTTCCCTCTTTTTACACAGGAAAATTTTAAAGACAAATGAGCTTCTCCCCTGTCCCTCTTTCTCAGCAGTTTGCTGCCTTTAAAGTCCACATTAGTAAAACGAATTACATGGTTGTGTGAGAACTTTGAGTTTGGAGTACATGAATGGCCCCAGGTGTATGTCTTAAGTGGGAGTAGTGGTACCATAAATGACACTATTTTCCTAAATAACCGAATATATTAAATACAGTTCAGTTTTTAGACAGTAAACATCTTATGCGTACCGGACAGAGTGGAGAAGGCTCTTGGAATTTTTGGACTGTTTGCTTTAGAAAGAGATGAATAAGAAGCTAGAGCTCCTTTTAGGAATTGATTGAAAAGGCGGAGGAGGCTTTCCAATTTCAACTTAACTGTTTCTGGTTTCTCCGAGAGCTGTGGCTCTTACTTTGCCTTGGAATGCACGCTAAAGGGATGAAATAGCCACTACGTGAGTGGGGGAGGGGAAAAGACGTGGCAGCAGTGTTCTTTCATCAACTCTTTTGCTCATTTTTTTTTAAAGGTTCTGGAAAGAAACATATTTCCCCTTTTAGGTTTAGACGTAGCTTATGAATGAGGCTAGTCTTTTCCTAAAATAATCAAATGAAATATTCATTCCGCATAGCAGGAACACTGGAATTTAATTTATAAAACATTTCAAAGGGATTTTTCTGATCAAGATTTTATGGAGAAAGTGGATACCTTAAGCAGAAAATATTCAAGAAGCCGAAAATGAACAGCCTTGAATATGTTTGGCCTTGATTTGAAATTTAAATAGACGTTTCATGATTTTTCTTTAACTTTGGTTTTTAGCCTATGACTGTAAATTTCTTTTTGTGAGTGTAATTTTAGAATCTTAAATATGAACTTCAAATTTAACTATTTTTTGTTCTGTGGGAAGCATAGGTTTTATCACTTACCTTTAAAAGTTATGTCATTTCTGGTTTCGAAACATTCATTATGCCTTAAGTCCCACCAGCATTTCAGATAGCTGATGGCAATATTTCTTATAAATTTAACATAGACTAAGTAGGAAAAGGACTACTTTGCTTTTTTTTTTTTTTTTTTTTTTTAGGTGGCTAATGCTGTTTCCTTTGACCTCTTAAAACAAGTTTTATTTTCAAGTATGGAAAGCCAGGTCTTTGGTGAGGAGATAATTACATTGACCTTTTAGGGTCTTGGTAACTGAGGTAGTAAAATAGATGACAAATTGTATACAACTTTTAATTATTGCAGAAAAATTTAGACAGTGCAAAAGACTATTGAAAAAAGAAAGTTTGTATCAGCTAGCTAGTTCAGGTTGTAGCAGGTGAATCTTGGCTTTTTGGTAAGGAGATGTTAACCTTTTCTGAAACTGCAGAGTGGGTTGTATACTGACAAGCAGTATCTTTCATAAGGCAATTTTAATCCAGGGATGCAGTCATAAAACTTGTGAACCTTCATTTCTGTGGATGGAAAGCCTTATTTTCCTTAGCAATTAATATTAACTGGGATATAATAACAGCTCTCAGATTTGAAAAGTGTACCCTGTGAAATACATAGCAGTTCTCAGCCTGAGTTCCTGAAATCCATCGAGAATCTAATGGTGTGGAAACTGGGTCAAAAAATGCAAGTACATATACACATCTGAATGGAATTTTATATTCCATTTACAGATACCCTTCTCCCTCCTCTCAAGAATATGTAGATACTTAGAAGAAGTAAAAAAATAAAAGATGTGAAGTTAATCTTTAAGGATATCTAGGTGTATTGAGGCAGTATTTCTTGAATATTTCTGAAAATTGAGCTGTGCTTGTCAGTCTGACTGGATTGAGTATATAGATGACCCTAATAAACTTTTGCTAAAAGTTTATTTAACAAAAGTTAATACATTGGTAGGAGAATTGTTGAATTGCTAAATTGTCTAGGCAATCATATATCATATTTTTCCCCCTTAACTCCTCCCGGGTGGGGGGGTGTGTGTGTGTCTGACTATATAAGAGATAGGCCAAATGAAGTATATATGTATATTTGTGAAACAAGTTACAGGTGTGCATTTCTACACAGTGAAAAATTGCATTTCCACACAAGGATATGTTTATTGATTTGAGAGAGAGAGAGAGAGAGAAAGGGGGAGAGAGGAAGGGAGAGAGAGAAGCACCGATCTGAGAGAAACATCGAACTGTTGTCTCTCTCATGTGCTCCATCTTGGGACTGAAGCCAAAACCTAGGTACATGCTCTAACCAGGAATGGAACCAGTGCCCCCTACATGATGCTCCAACCAACTGAGCCACACTGGCTGGGTGGTTTACATATTTTTAATTTAAATAATGTTATATCAAATTGATATACTCAGCTTCTCTCTCTTGTTGGGCATTTGAGCTGCTTCTCCATTATAAGTAGTGTACACCTGTATAGCTTCAGTAAACTTGAGTCACTTTTATTTCTAGCTGCATTTTTTTAAGGAAAAGAAACACATATCAATAATTTTTTTCTTTCCCCTGCAAGGATTTTCTAGGGGAATTTGTCTGGGCCCTAAATAGATGTTTAAATCTACTTGATTACAACTAAAGCACCTTATAATTTATAAAGTGTTGTTTTATATATTATATAATTTGAACCTCAAAATAATTTTGTGGAGTAGTTTTATATCATCCCCATTTTACAAATGAAGAGCTAATACTTTGGGACTCAAAGAAGTCAAGTAATTTGCCCTAGATCCAGTAAGTGGCAGAACTATGACTTAGACCCAGGTTTCCTTCTTTTCTGATTCACGCTTTGTTACTCCATCCTTGATAACTGGTCAGACTGACTTTGAAGTAACGGAAGGGAAAAAAAAAACCAAAAACTAATAGCACATTGACAATGTATTAGAAATTTTTCAACATTAGGAGTTGAAATAAGGTCGGGTTCCTGGTTAATAGTAATGAACTTAGTCATTCCACTCAATTAAATTTTAAAAGCATTTATAATGTGCCTAGTACACATTGTAGGAGAATCAAAAGACTGATGAGAAATGTTTCATAGGAGAAATAAGATATAAATGTTACATGGTATGTAAGCATGTTACTAACATTTTAGTTGATATTAAATCTGAATAAGTGCTGAATGGAAACACATATCAAGGTTCACATCCTTTTAAATTATGAATTATTTTCCTATATTCTGGTATATGAAGTTTTATTATGTATATATTTTCATCCATGTTATGTGTTACTCCTTTTTATTGTTGAGTAGTATTACATTGTATGGATATATTACAATATTTTTGGGGGGGGGGTAAATTTACCAGTTGATAAACATTTGGGCTCTTTCCAGCTTCTAGCTGTTGTAAATAAAGCTGCTGTGAGCATTCATGTACAAATCTTTGGAGGGATATATACCTTCTTTTATCTTGAATAAATATCTAGAAGTAGAACAACTACATCATATGTGATAAGGAAATATTTTTTCCTTATCTGTGGCTTGTCTTCATTTTTTTAACAGTGTGTTTCAAAGAGCAAGAACTATTTTTATTCATGGACAATATGTCTGTGTAGAAAATTTGAAAGGTGGTTCCAAAAAGCTCTATATCTAATAGGTGAATTCGGCTGGCTTGAAAGGGAATTAGTATACAACAGTCAGTTCTATTTCTTTATACTAGCAAGAACAATTGGAAGTTAAAATTTAAAAATACCATCTTAACAGCACCAAAACTCATGAAATACTTAAGTATTAACTTTTACAAAATATTTCCAAGATTTGTATACTGAAAGTTAAAAACCCTGATGAATGAAACCAAAAAAGACCTACATAAGTGGAGAGATATTTCATATTCATGGATTGGAAGACTCATTCTTGTTAAGATTTCTACTCTTCCCAAACTGACCTGTAGATTCAATACAATTCCAGTCCAAATCCCAGCAGGATTTCTTACAGAAACTGATGAGCTAAATTCAAAATAGATGTGGGGGAAAAAAGGAACTAGGAAAGGCAACACAATTTTGAAAAGAAGAACAAAGTTGGAAAACTCACACTACCTGATTTCAACTTATATAGCTGCAGCACACAAGTCAGTGTGGTATTGGAGAAAAAATAAACATACAGATCAATGGAACAAAATAGAGACTCCAGACACAAAAAAATGATCAGTTTGTTTTTGGCATATGTATGATGGCAGTTCAGTAGAAAAGGATAGTATGGAATAGTTGGATATTGATATGCAAAAAAAAAATAATCTGTTATGCTAGGGTACTTACCATCCCTTACTAGACACTGAACAACCCCTGCCTAGGGATTTAGTAAATGTTCAGACAGTGACACAAAGGTACTAATGGATATGAAATATG